GTAAGACGTTCTTGGATGATGGTGGAAATTCCATCCTCATCGATGTCGGTTCGAAGATCAACATCATGGGCGAAAACACGAGCCGCAAGTTCGTCCAGGCTGCTGAGGCACATGGCCGTACTTGTACGTTTGAGCCCCGCTCTCGTTTGAATATCAACGGAGTGGGAGAAGGGTCGGCCCAAGCGGATACCGTAGGCACATTCAGTATTGCCTGCGAGTACCAGGGGTCGACCCAGCTCGATTCATATAAGACGAACATTGTTTCAGGCTATGGCAAAGACCTGCCAGCCATCCTAGGCCTCGATAGTATGCAGGACAAACGCACGATCATCGTGCTTGAACGAGGCCAGGAGAAACTGATATTCCCTGGTAAGGGGCAGGTCAAGATGGAGCTCCCCGAGGGCTCCAAGATCATGCCGACGACGAAGTTGCCGTCAGGGCATCTGTCGATCAGGTGTGATCGTTTTGGAGCTGCGGGGCAACCCGCCTCGAGCTCAAGCAGCACGTCATTTCAGACAGTGCTGACGGGCGAGCCGACCCCGGCGCAGGAGCGCGAGCAATTGCAGGGAATCTTGCCTCAGGGGTTGATGGAGACGCTCGCCAAGGCCATTATGCGAGGCGACAACATCGACGATCTTGAATCGTTCGATTGCTTCGTTGCCAGGACACTGGCCCAGCATGGTAGAAGTGTACCCATGGACGCTGTACGGTCCCGCCGGAAGATAGTAATGGGGTACACTAGCCGTGAGCTGCAGACGGTCAGCGACGCTAGGTCCAAAGGCGCGCTGAAACAGCTGATGGATAATCCATCCATGCTGACAGCATTTGCGGAGCAATCCGCCTCTGAGGCCACGGCGCGCTGCAGTGCTGAGCTCCAGCATCTGAGGGAAGCCCAGATGCTGGCAGACATTGCAGGCGCATCTTCTTTATCTTGAAGATGGCAGGGTGACGTCGCCCCCTCGTCGTCTTGCCTGTTGGCCGAAAAGCCGGGGGGTAGCAAGGACAGCGGGGTAACCTGCCTCAGTAAGAGGGCTTTTGTCATTGAAGATACGAGAGAGGCTTGTGCCGACCTCCGCGCCCGAGGTTATATCGGTGATCGTATTTCCCAGAATGAGCTTATGACAAGCGTGGGCACAGATTACCTGGGTGCGGTGATCAGTGGAGATTACATTCTCATATGGATTAGTACCCTGGGTGACTGGTATGTACGAACTCCAGGAAAGAGAGTGGCCCCACATTGGTCACGTATCCAGAACCTGTTGATAAAAGCCAAGAAATTCCGTATGAAAATCATTATATGTGGTCCCCCAGGATATGTTTGGAAGTTATCTCCAGTACGTGATACCCTGGAAGATCTTAAGTTGTCAGTAATACGGATGCGTCTGTGTCATTTCGGTATTCGGTTCAATATGCAAGACAGTACACCGAGTGGTACTCATATGCAGGTAGCGTCATCAATACCGATTAGCTCGAAGCTGTGGGCATGTACATGCAAACAGGCAATACCACAACATGTGTTGGATTGGTACGGCCATACAGTACGGCATGCTGAATGGCGAGCTCAGACACGTACTACACTCATTCGTCATCTGAACGACAACATCTTGGGGAGCACCACCACGCACGGAAACGTGCCTGTATATTTAAACACTTATACACGTACGGACCACAACATCCATCACTACGTGACGACCAACAAGGGAGGACCGAAATGGTCTGATGTTATCCGACGTGTAACGATTAACCTGGATACCAATGCGGTTATTCAGGATATCTCAGTTACCGATCAACCAACAGGGTATGATTGGCATGCACCACTACCTGCAGGGGTTGCCAACATCAGCACTCGGTTGTATTGGCAACCCGAGGAACCGGTCTTGCTCGGAAACGAGCCTACTAAATCACCACAGAAACCTCGACGCGTCATCATAGATGACTGTTCTCTCCCCCTCCCGACTCTGGCGATTGACGCATGTACCCACTCAACCACGACAATGGGCACACAGACCGGCGAACAAGACGAGCAAGTTTTACCCACAGAATCGCGTATCAAGCAGAAGGAAAGGCCCAAAGCCGAAAAGGAAGCAGGCATCAAGCCTCGCCGCATTAAAAAGCACGCTGAAGACGGAAACGATGATTGTGGCGACGACTTGTCAGGACTCGGACAGGATCTCATGGCAACCTGGAGTACTGACGTCCCTATTGAGCTGATAAGCTCCGATGAGGACGATGACCTGTTCCTTACCCTCCCCGCATCTATGCCCGACACACACGCTAACATATACAGCATAGTTGCTACACTATGCTATGGTCATAACAACTGCGTGGATATGTTGGAGCTCTGTGGCGGTGAAGGTGGTATATCAGAGCTTGCCTTCTCAAGGGCACTCTCCTCAGGAGGCAACCTAGACAAGACTACATATGTCGACCTGGGAGACCCCTCGGTGCAGCGGGTTATAGATCATTACTTCGCTATATGCTACGTACGAGTTGCCATGCTACAGCCCAGTTGCCGCACCACAGGACCACCATCCTACTACAACTACAAAGTCAATCACAACACTTGGGAACAGCACCACAAAGAAGATTTACCACACATAACTTATTGTGGTAAAATTGCTGTAACCCAAGATGACGCTCGGAGGTGGTTTATACGCGAACAACCTATTGGAACATGGGTGGATGATATCTCCCCATGGAAGAAACTTGCCAACCGACCACACATTACAACCGTACGCATTGATCAATGTGCTACGGGACTCAAAGATACGGCTGGTGACTATATTAAGAAGCCGACAAATATCACCAGCAACGACGAGACAATTCTTAAACCCTTTGAGCGACTCAAATGCAACGGTCAGCATGTGCATGCACAACCGTGCAATAAAGAGCTTTCACTGGCACAAAAATACACTCGACGACTGCAGTCTGCCTTCGTGGAAGCCGTCTATCTGGCGAAAGCCATTGATACTACGCGCGGAAACGCGCCTATAAGTACCGCACATGCTTACCCTGCAGACCTTCCCGATAAAGCTGAACCAGGCGAAGGTGTGAGACGCATCGGTGATCGTATCATCCCAAAGGTGGCCACTTGCCCGGCATGCATCGACAACGTCCGAAAGGACAGTCCTAGCCATAACAGAGACCCTACGCAGTGTAAATATCATGATTCCATCTCTGTATATTGGCCATGTCCCGCATGCCAGAGGGATCTTACGAGAAGCAAGGGTGTTAAGAACCACCTCGATACCGAACCTGGTAAATGTCGTTTTGCTGAACCATTTAAACTTCCAGACGATCACGACCCCGAAGGCAAAACCGTGCCAGCTTGGTGGAAACCCTTACCTAAACCTGGTGAGGGCCAAGCTTCAGCTTCAGGTGGCCGCCAAGGCGCACACGCCAGGCCACCGCGACCACGATCCTTCGGTAACGTCGATCCGACATCTGGTGCCAGCAGTTACGACATGCTACGAGACGCCCCCGAGCGTGGAAACACGCCTTCCGCGTCCTCTAGCGAAGCGCCACAGGTAGCGGCCCGTCGCGGCCGCCTACAAGGCGCACCACCACCTCCAGATGCAGTCAATGCAGGGGACCAACTACGGAGAGCTACAAGGAACCCTCTTGCCTCTACCGGCTCTGGGGCTCCACGACTACCCGACTGGACGAGATTCGACATCCAACACAGTCTACAAAGTCTGCGTAGTCACGAACCTCATGTCGTGAAAAAGGAACTCCGAAAACTGCATCTGCGATGGTATCATGCGAAGGAACCTAAGATGAGGCTAATCCTCGACAAAGTGGGGCTGGATAACGTTCGACTGAACATGATCAAGGAAGTTTGCGACACCTGTCGAGAATGCAGAGCATGGGAACGTCCAGGAAACTCAACACTACCCTCGGTGAGCCTTCCCGGTAACTGGCTCGACGAAGGTGAAATGGACCTCATGTTCTACAAGAAACGGACCATATTTCACATTATGGATCGTTGTAATCGCCTGGCAGCAGGCCTAGAAATTTCAGACAGAGAACGTGACACTATCCTTGACGCCTACCACTGCTGCTGGATTGCCTATCACGGACCCTTCAAAGTCTTATACTCAGACGGAGAAGGCGCCCTGAACAATGATGCCGCTAAAGCCATGATGGCCAATAAGGGCACGGAACTTCGTATCCGAGCACCTGGCCAACACGTGACTTCAATTGAGTCACGAAACGGCATTCTCAGAGGCGTCCTCCACATGATTGAGGAAGAACTGAATAGACACAACACCCCTGTTGTATTCACTAGAGTATTGGCGGAAGGCATCTTCGTTACTAATGCTTTTACGTTTTATAACGGAGTATCGCCATACCAAGCACACACAGGACGTCAGCCCTCCTTTCTCCCTGATCTCGACACCCTTGACTTTCCCAAGGGACCCGAAACTTCAGGACACGAACGAGAACGTCGTGTGAGGGAAGTCAGCCTAGAAGCCATAACTCAGGCCACTGCTGTGGCCAAGACAAATCGGGCTCTTAGGGCTAAAACGACTCCTGATGGTGCTTGCCTTTATTCTGCAGGGGATTTGGTCGATTACCACCGACCCACTGCCACTAAGGACGACCATGGAGGCTGGAATGGCCCATTCCTGGTGATCCGTAATGTGCCTGAAAGAGGACATATTGTTGTCAACATATTGTTGTCAAGGCAGGATCTCGTGAGGTAATTGTGATGTATCCTGATGCTCGTCACACACTATACATTGAATGTCTCCTCGCACGGGAACTTGGCATGGATAATATGGCCATGCAAACCGTCCTTGCATATGTGGCACATCTCGGCGCAGGGAAACCTGCCAAAGTTTTCCGGCGCAGCACCTCCGGGGGCCCCCTGGGTCCCCCTCCCTATCGACGCTCCCCTCTTTGCCAAAAAAGCATCCAGGAACCCCAGAGACAGGCCCCCCGAAAACAGCCCATCTACCTGGAGAGGCCATTCTAGCCGCTGGAACGATTAGGTACGCCTAACGATGAGCCTCCTCGATCTCGGCAACTTGCTTGCGCAGCGTCGCAGCAATCACGTTGCTAAAGACCTCTGCGGCGTGGGTGGAGGAAGCCCTCCAGTTCCGCTTGGCAGGTGCTGGGGCCATGTCCATGTAGTGGGTGCCATCGCCGGCGCCACCTGCATTGGGCCCCAGATCTGCCGTGAGGTCACGGACATGGTCAATGAAGGTATCCGTAATCAGTGCAGTGGCCGCGCGAAGGATCTCCGCTGCACGTTGCGCCTTCCTCGGCCAGCAGAATGACGGCAGTCATCTGGTCGGTGAAAACGTTTTTGCTCTTCAGCAGGGCGAAGGATTTCTGCTCATGCCCAGCGGTGGTCTGCAAGTCGACGAAGATCTGAAACTCAGGGGTCCTCGACATCATCTCCTTGGAGGGTGAGGCCGCGGCCTCCAGCGTGGACCCCGCTATGTCAAGCTGTTTCCTCATGGAGACTAGAGTCTTGAGGAAATCTGACCAGAGGTGGCAGGGGCACGCTGTGTCGTCGATCAGTGCACCGAGCTGCTTGACGCACTCGGCGGCCTTCTGGGCCAAGCCCTCTTCAAAGCCCCTCTCCACGCACAACTGAAAGAGACAGGTCACGAGATGCGGAATGAGCTTGGTCACCGCCTCGTTGGTACCCAGGCCGTTGCACTTGGCGGCATCGGCCATGATGCGATCCAATAGTGATGTATCGAACGTCTCGGTACTCTGCCCCATTGCAGCCGTCGCTCCTGCGACGACGGTGTCGATCGTGGAGTTGCTCTGGGCCAACTCTATACCAGACTTTAACTTGGCACATGTTGCCACCAATGCTGGTCTCAGGGGGAACTGGCGCACGGCTTTCTGCGCAAGACTCGACATGGTTTTGCGCGCCGTCAATTTGTTGACATCATCTGGCAAGCTAGTCAGCACGGTGTGGTGCCGCTCGATGTTGGACACAATCTGTGTCTCGATGCAGTTCGCCATGGTTGAATGTTTCCCGAACCTGTGCGCGCATTTAGCCGCGTTCTGGTAGCAACATTCCGAGATACCTACCATGCCGACGAAGCTGTCGGCCTCCAAACCATCCACATCAATGGTGTCATCGAGGTCATCCAGCAGGGGCTCAAGAGTCTGGCGATGCTGATCGATGACCTGGAGCGCGTGGTGCGCCTCAGCCGCCCCTGCAGAGGCCACCTTGCGGGACGAGGCGACGTCCGCGAAGGCGCGGGTAAGCCTGCGCGGCGAGGAAGTGTCAGCCAACGTTTTGATAACGTTGCGTGTCTTCGGCATCCGAGCCACAAATGATGGACATGTCTTCGGTATAGGTGACAGACGTGAGCAGCGCGTCGAGCTTTGCCATCAACGCATTGCCGTGGTCAGACTAGCCCCATGCTTGAGCACCTTCTTGCAGCATGTACTCAACAAGCCGTGCGCGTGAGTGGCAAGCTGGTGCATCGAGGACCACAAATTGAGGTATAAGTCGATGGCGGTCTCGAAAAACATCTCCAGCATGGCCGTTTCGTTCTCGCCCTTGAGATGGTGAAGCTCGACCTGTGAAGGAGTTGGCGCGCGCGATGAGTCATCCTGGCCGTTGTCGGCATCAACATCACCTGGGTAGCATGCCTTGAGTAACGCCTCCACTGCATCACTCGTCTCGGCATCCGTTCTCAATTGCGCCGCGCGCTTCTGCCGCGGGACTTCCCAACAGTGCTGCTGGAGGTCGTGGCCGATTGTCCTCAATTCATTGGCCGTTTGGACGAGGGCGCTGAACGTGAACTTGTTGCTGTGCCTCGAGTTGAAGCGCCGGCATTTCTCGAAGACGTCCAAGTGGGCGCGCAGTTCCTTGACCTGCGCGTCCGCCTTCAAGTCGCCCCCCACCTTCTGGAGATACTGGCACGCGTGCCAATGCAGGAAGCCTAAGGATGTCGATGCCATCGCAGTCTTGCAGGAGAGCGCCTCGATGTAGTTTGCAGCAGCCGGCTTTCCACTCAACGCCGGGGCGCATGAGTCACTGGGATCGCTTGGGGTCTTGACTGTCTGGTAGGGGAGGGCCACAGCGTTCGACTTGTCGCCCTGCCCCCCCGTGGAATCGAACGCGTCTGCCCCGATGCTGTCGGTCAAGAGGTCGTTGGCCCCTCCATCATGAACTCCTTCAGGAATCGACGCCAACGGGCTGCCGTCGGGGAGCTCCCCGTCGGCACCCGCGTGCGCTCCAGGGGCTGGCCCTCCGAACATGGGCAGCGACCCGAGCGGCCCAGTCGAGCCAGGAGGTGGCGTGCTTGACTGCTGTGGGCGGCTTAGCGCAGCTGTGACGCCGTTGGACACAGCGCCAATCGAGCGACAACCATCGTCGCCGTCGCCGACGTCTGCAGTGTCCACCTCGTAGCCAAGCGGGTGCACCGCCCAAGCATCTCCACTCCGCGTCTTAGCCGTGCATTCGGACAGCGCAGTCAATTCGATCATCTTCACGCAGTCCACTCCTGAGTTGGACAGCTCGTGCGCAACGCAGTAGTTGAACGCGTCCTTGCCCTGGCCGTCGTACAGGTGGTTGTCCTGACGCGAGGTCGGCGTGGTCAATGCGTTGATCGAGCCCGTGCGCACCTGCACCGTGCGATGCCCAGAAGCTGGCGCCCATGTAAAAAGCCAAAACTTTTCCATCTCGCCAGACCCGTCTTCTTTGTATGCCCAGATCGAAGGATGAGACGGATGCGGCATTTTCAACGTAATTTTGGCGTGGTGGTAGTCCTCCCACTCTTGCTTGTTCAACCCAGTCATCATTCGAAGGGTCTCGACGGCGGCTTGCATATCGAAATGGGCCGATTGCTGCGCGAACGGGATCTGGGTCTGACTGCTCTTCAGGTTCCCCATCGGCCTCGTCGGCTGCAGCAGGTTCGGCCCTGAACTTGGTCGCCGCCTCTGACACTGGCATCATGGAGGCAGTGCGTAATAATAGGTTCGCATGCGCCTTGCACAGCAGCACGCCCCCTTCGCAAACAGGATCACATACAGTCATAGCAGGGTTGTCCTCCGCAGGCGCAGGCAAGACACAACTTCGCCAGACCCGATAACCAACGCACGAAAAGGATTGTCGTTTTAACGACCTGTGGCTAGGATCCCAAAGCGGGAAAGCGCACCCCTATGAAGATGCAAACGCGAGCCCAGGTTCCTTGGGCCCCTGGGCCCCCTCAGCCAACGCATATATGCAGAATGGGCGCTCCTTCGTAAAACAGCACTTCCCCCACGAACAGTACTTGCCGTTGCTGAAGGAGCCTGGCGTTAGCTTTACCTGTGCTTGGGTCACAATGGTGGGGCCCATCGTCTCGGTGGCCGCTTCCTCCTCGGGCTTTTTGTGAATGCGACGGCGTCTGGGCTGTTGTGGAGCGAGCACTGCGTCTGCCTCTGCGCCTCCTCCAGACTCACTGACCGCGCCAGACGGCGCTGCTGGGCGTTTGGCGCGGCTGCCAGGCGGCCCCGCCGCGGCCATTGCTGCGACTGGACACACCACGACCAGCCATGTTGTAATTCTCAAACCGTAGGCTGGTAGAGGAGAGGCCACGTTACGCCGTCGCGCTCTGCGAGGTTTGCTTGAGCCCACATGGCCACGGTGGGAGGGGCAACGCGTGCCAAAATATCTAACACAGGCCTTCGCCCTGGTATATTGGGTGGTGGGTGGCTGGGTGGTGGACAGGTGGTGAGTGACTGGTGGGTGGGTGGTGGGTGGTAGTGGGTGGGTGGGTGGGTGGGTGGGTGGGTGGGTGGGTGGGTGGTGGGTGGTGGGGGGGTGGGGTGGTGGTGGTGATTGATGGTGGGTGAGGTGTGGGTGGTGGTGAGTGGTGGGGGTGGGCGGTGGGTGGTGGTGTTTGGGTGGTGGGTGGTGGGCGGCGGTGGGTGGGCGGGTGGGTGGTGGGTGGGTGGTGGGTGTGGTTGGTGGCGGTGGGTGGGTGGTGGGTCAGTGGTGGTGGGTGGTGGGTGGGTGGGGTGGTGGTGGGTGGGTGGGTGGGGGTGGTGGGTGGGCGGTGGGTGGGTGGTGGTTGGGTGGTGGATGGGTGGGTGGGTTGGGTGGGTGGTGGGTGGTTGGTGGATGAGTGGTGAGTGGTTGTGTGGTGGGTGGGTGGCTGGTGGTGGGTGGGTGGGTGGGTGGGTGGGTGGTGCGTGGGTGGTGGGTGGGTTGGTGGGTGGGTGGGTGGTGCGAGGGTGGTGCGTGGGTGGTGGGTGGTTGGTGGGTGGGTGGTGGGTGGTGCGTGGCTGGTGGTGGGTGGGTGGTGGGTGGTGGGTGGTGGGTGGAGGGTGGGCAGGTGGTGGGCAGGTGGTGGGTGTGCGGTGGGTGAGCGGGTGGTGGTGGGCGGTGGGTGGCCAGTGGGTGAGTGATGTATGGGTGGTAGGTGGTGGGCGTTGCGTGGATGGTGTGAGTTTTTTTTGTTTCCATCGGTTTTTAATTTGCCAAGCCAGGTAGTGGGGGCAAAAGAGGTGGTGGGTTGTTGGGTTGGTGGTGGGTGGTGGGTGAATGGTGGGTTGTGGGTCTGCCAGGTGATGGTGCCACAGGGCGCCGTTTTGGCCTGCCAGGTGGTGGTGCCCAAATGTGCCGTGCAGGTGATCTGCACAACGCGCTCTCGAGATACGAACATGTAGAAGTGCATATATGCTGTCTGTGTCACGCGCGTCAGCTGTCTGGCAGACACAGGGGATGGGGGAGGGGGCGGTTAAACACAACAGACCATAAGGGGGGCGTTACAAGGATAATGGGGGGGATGCGGGGGCTGAAGTGAGACCCTACGGGGGGGCAACCTGGGAGAGGACGCGCCTGAAACATACCTCGGAGGGAACACTTCGAGGAGGGGGGGAGCTAACAACTGACCCTCTGGGGAACACTTTAAGGACGGGGCGCGCTTAAAGTGTTCCCCGTATGGTTTATTTAAGGTGAGGGGGGCCGCAACGCAGTCTTATCGCATTTCCAGCGGGGAGTGTTTTAAGATGGTTGGGTCTGCGTTGAGCTCTTGGGCGGGGGGGGGGGCGGGGCGATGGCCCAGGCACGGAACCATCTCTGTGCGGCCTCCCAGGCTGCCTGCTCCTCTGGGTCGTGGCAGACCCCGACCTTCTCAGTGTCCACGTCCAGTGCTAGCGCGACCGCCCTGAGCACCGCCTGTGCGGACTCTGGCGGCAGGGCCCGCGCCGCCGCGCGGAGCAGCTCCTCGTTGGCGGTCCCCGCGGCCAGGTGCTTGCCCCAGGCGGCGTCGCTGCCGCCCTGGATGCGCCAGACCTCCCGCGGCGTGAGCGCCCCCGCTCTCCCGTGCGCACCGCCGGGGATGTACAGCAGCGTAGGGCCGGGCCCTGCGGGCTCCTGGCCTGGCCACCGGGGGGCGCCGGCAGGGCCGTCTGGGCTGCGCAGCAGGTGCTTGACCCCCCCGATAGTGATGTGCCAGGCCGGCTTCGGCAGCAGTGGACTGCCCGCGGTGCGGATCTTAGGGTCGAGGAGGATCTCTCCCTGGTTGTCCAGCCTGTTCCCGTCTGATTTCGACTCCAAGAAATGCTTGACTCCGTGGGCCACACGGCGTGCCTGCGGCAACTTAATGCTCGCCAGGCAGCGCGCGAGGGGGCTACGGCAGGCGACCAGCACTTTCCTGGGTCTTGAGGTTGCGTCCCCGTGCTCGGTGCACAGGAGGTCGAGCGAGGTCAGCGCGTAGCCGAGCTGCTTGAGGGAGCGCTCGAGCTTCTGGACTGGGAGCCCCACGGGTGCATCCGCGATGACCACGCTGGGGCGGTCCTGGCCCGCGCGGACGAGGAGCGCCTCCGTCTCGAAGCCCCGCGGGTCCATCGTCAGGGACGTGAGCACCCAAGCGGCCGCCTGCCCTTGGCCGGCCTCGCGCCCCCCGAGCTTGACGAAGGCGCCCCGATATCCCTGGAGCAGCCCACGCAGCTCGATGCCGACCTGACCGGCCAGGGGCAGGCAGGCCTTCGGCGCAGCAGACGTGCGATGGGCGCGGCGCTGCAGAGCTGCCTCGGCCAGCGGCCCCGTCTCGCCCAGGATCCGCAGGAGTCTGTCCTGGGCATCCCCAGCGGTGGAGCCCCAAGCGGCGGGAGGCTCCAGGCGATGCCGTCCAGCCCTCGCGAACTCGCTGTGCGCCTTCTTCATTTTCTCTCTCGTCAGCCAGTCCGCCACCTCGTTGCGGTACGTGCGCACGTAGAAGGATGTGAGCATGAAGCCGTACTCGGCCTCCAGCCTCTCGACCACGCGCAGTAGATGGTGGGCCAGTGCGTTCTTGGGCCGGCGCTTCGTCAGCCAGGACTTAGCCTTCGCGTTGTCCGTGACGTAGAAGACGAGCTCGTCCATCCACAGGTGACCTCGGCATGCGGCCAACGCCACCAGCGCCAGCAGCTCCACGACTGAGATGACCCAGTCGTCCTCTGAGCTCGGTCCGATCACCGTGTCGCTGAGCTGTTCCAGCAGTGGCTTCGCCTCCGTAGCCAAGTACGAAGGCGGGCCGTCGGCGAGACTCTCGCTCGCACGGCCCCAGTCGACGGCTCCAATCGCGTCCAAGGTCGCGTCGCCTCCTGTACAGCGGGTCCGGCGCGCCATTCCAGGCAACGCCATCAGTTCGCGAGGGGTCAGTGCCTGGCCGGAACCCGCTTGGAACGACGTGCTCCAGGCCTCCGGCGCGTCGAACATCACCCGGAAGAGCTCCAGCGTACGGTCCCACTCCTCCCACGCTGCTGCCACGGCGTCGGGGTCGCCCTTGGGAGCCGCCCACGGTGAGCCCTCGGCCACGTGCCCCAGGAGCTTGTCGAGCACTGGAAGCTTTGGGCGAATACTTAGAACCATTTAGTTCAATGGCAAACTTCCTAATTTCAGAAAGCTTGCTCTGAGCCTAAAGCTGTCTGGAAATCGGTCTCTGAATATACTGGATCACGCCAAGACCATCGAGACCTAACCTGGTTGGACGGTCAGCCACCTGGTCGCAAATAGCTGCCGGAGGTGGAGGAGGAGGTGGAGGAGGAGGAGGTGGAGGAGGAGGTGGAGGAGGAGGAGGTGGAGGGGGAGGAGGGGGAGGAGGAGGATGAGGAGGGAACCATGACCTCGGTCGCATCACGACGAATCGGCCGACAGCGTCAGGAGGAGGGAGAAGGAGGAGGAGGGAAAAGGAGGAGGAGGAGGAGGAGGAGGAGGAGAAGAAGTCGGAGGAGGAGGAGGAGGAGGAGGAGGGGGCCGAGGAAGAGGAAGAGGAGCAGGTGGAGAGGGAGGAGGCCGAGCTCTGGCGCGAGATGAAGTGGAGGCAGTCCGCCCAGCGGGGCCACAGGACGTCGAGGCGCTCAAGGGCCTCACCGTCGGCTGGCAGGCCAATGGCCAGGGCTTTCCCGACACCGACCCCTGCGGCGGCTGCGCCGGCGGGGGCGGACCCATCGACCCCAAGGACGTCTGCACCGGCAAGGTGCCGACTGGCTGCCTGTGCAAGACCGTGGACGGCGCGTGCCCCGACCTTGCGGGGGGTGGGGGTGGGTGGGGTCGGGGGTGTTGGGACAATGCAAGTCGGTGCGAAGGAAGCGGAGGGGGGTATCGAAGGAGGAGGAGGAGGAGCAGGAGGAGGAGGAGGAGGAGGAGGAGGAGGAGGAGGAGGACTGACGAGGACTGACGAGGAGCACTGAGGAGGATGAGGACGGCCCGCGGCGCGAAGCCCGTGCGAGAAGGGGTGTGGATGAGAGCTCAAGGAGGCCAGGCAGGGCCGTAGATTCCCAGAGGTACATGCCTGGCTGGGACATGCCCTTCACCGAGGCTGGCCACATGGGCTCGGCCACCGACGGCGACAGCGACGCCGTCATGGGCTTGATTTACCTCGCGGAGCTCACCGGGGAGCGGGAGTACCAGGAGGGTTCAGGGGCAACGTTAGGGGGGATGGGCTCACGGGGGGGGGGGTCGTGCGATTCCGTCGATTTTCGTCGGTCTTCCAGCCTTGGGATATTTACCAGCGGCTGCGCCTAGAAGAGGGTTTCCGGGTGTCCCCAGATCGTCCCGAACGGCCGCCAGAGAGCCGATGTATGAACCGAGAACCTTGGGTGTCGACCCGCAATCGCCAATCGATCGCCGATAGGGACCCGATAAGTTTCCCCGCCCAAGACCGTGCGGACTCACAATCGAGGGCATATCGCCGGTCTATCGGCGAAGTATCGCCGATCTCAGCCCGATTTCCCCGCCCCCCCCTTAGCTGTGCCCCTCCCCTATCGTTCCTCAGGAGTACGCCGTCAAGTCCATCGCCGCGTTCGTGCTCGAGGACCTCGGCTTCGCCGACCCCGAGAAGAACTCGAGGCCGGTGCCAGCGGCGGGCGACATCCCGGCTAGCCTGCAGACAATGTGGCTCTGGAGATCGAAGAAGAACGAACGGCACAAACAGAAGTGTTCGGAGCTCTTTGCGGATTTCTTGGATCTGCGCTGGCACCCCCGGCGGCGCTTCGGTCGCCGCCCCTGGTGCGCTCCGCGCGCCAGGGAGGGGGGTTCGGCGCCGATCCAAGAAGTCCGCACGGAGCTGCGAAAGTTTATGTTCATGAAGTGTTTCTTGCTCCAGGAGGGGCGGCACGTGCTGGGGCGGCTACGATACCTCTGCGGAGGGCGATGCGGACAACCGCAACCTGTGCATCAACCCTGCCTACTTCTCACCTGGAGACCAACCGCCAGAGCATGCTCACATCCACTGCCGCGGGGTCGCGTCCCCAGGATTTCGAGGAGTAGAGGATATGGATATCCGCCCGCCCGCGGCGGGGCCGCCCGCGTGAGCTTGCAGATATCAATGTCCACTGCTCTCCGAGTGAGTGGGACACGACCCCGCGCCAGTGGATACGGACAGACTCTGGCGGCGCAGGAGAGTGGCGCGCCTTCTCCAAGTTCCTGCTGAAGCACCCGGACCTCGTCCCGGCGCCCTACGAGGCGGCGGCCTTGGCGGCCGTGCTGGACAGCGCCATCGCCTGGGGCTACAACACGCTCATGAGGATTTCGTGCGGGAATGGCCTGGTAACTGGGCGAACTAATTACGGTTGGGGCGTTCGTTGACGAACGTGCCAAGGGGGCAAAAGACCCTGCAGTATTCCTTGTCTGATGAGGGCGGCTATGATCTCCATGGCCAAGCCTCAATTGGAGTGTCATGCGCTTCCAGACACTGGATTCCTTATCTCCTTGTCCAATGCCCTCACGGTGCCCATCTCTCCGATCCAGGGCGCTTTTCCTTGGCCTCTGGGGCCCGTTATCGGGCTCCGTCATCGGGCGCTGGGGACAATCACAAATGGACCCGTGGGGAACAAGTTGCCCTGGGGAAGGGGTCGGACCTCATGGGCCGCGCGTTGGACAAGTCATATCGGCGCACGTCATGGTATGCACATGCACCGATCCTGTCCAGTCCCATCCTGGGATCAGGATCGGTGCATGCGCCTCCCTGGCCAAGCCAAGGGAGCGTATATGTACCGATCCTGGGCTCAGGGTGGGCCTGGGCCCAGGATCGGTGTGTGCGTGTGCGTGTGCGTGTGCGTTTGGGTGTGGGTGTGGCTGTGCGTGCGTGCGTGCGTGCGTGCGTGTGCGTGTGCGTATGCGTATGCGTGTGCGTGTGCGTGTGCGTGTGCGTGTGCGTGTGCGTGTGCGTGTGCGTGTGCGTGTGCGTGTTCGTGTGTATGCGTGTGCGTGTGTGTGTGTGGTGTGTGTGTGTGTGTTTGTGTGTGTGTGTGTTCGTGTGTGTGTGCGCATGCGTACGTGAGAGAGAGAGAGAGAGAGAGAGAGAGCGTGTGCGTGTGTGTGTGGGGGGGAGAGAGAGAGAGAGAGAGAGAGAGCGTGTGTGTGTGTGTGTGTGCACACGTCTCTCAATCTTCTAGGTGAGCAACTGGTGGTCCGTGCCAGACAACGGCTGGCCGTGGAAGGGCGAGCTCAAGTGCACGAACTCGGGCACGGCCGCTGGCGCCTACTACTCCGACGCAGCCCGCATCCCGTGGCGCGTGACGCTGGACTACCTGTGGTTCGGGGACGAGTCCCGGGCCGACATCTACGACGAGGACGGCAAGATCCTGGGCACGTGGGGCGCCCAGGAGTATGCCAACCGCTGGGCCTCTGGCTGGAAGGAGCTGATCGAGGCGCATCCGGACGCATCTCCCGGAGTCTACCCGCCCATGAGCGCGGGCGCCACCCCGATGCGGTCGGACCAGGTGTTGCCCCTGCTGTCCGACCTCGAGAAGTGCTCCTTCGTCCCCGAGGGCTTCACCGCCTCTCCCTGGAACGGCTGGGGCGCGTACCCCGTAGTGACGTGCTTCCAAGTGCCCATGAGTGGCGTGGACGACGCGGTCATGCAGGAATGGGTGGAGTTCCTGGGCCAGGTGGGCTTCGACGCGTGCACCAACAAGCAGTACTTCGACCTGGGGCAGGAGGTCGTGGTCAGCGCCATGCTCGGCGGCGTCGCCTGGCTGCCCAAGTCCCTCGGCGGCGCTGGTCCGGTCCGCCCCGCGGCGGTGCACGCGCCGCGGCCGACTCCGACTCCCGCGAAGGCTGAGCCCACCGACGTCGTGACGACCCCCCTGATCGTCCCCCAGTCTCAGCAGGTCGTGGGACGCCGACTATACGCCTACACCGACTCCTGGCCAGGCCCAGGATCCGTCTGGGTGCCTGCCTGGCCAAGGCAGGAGGGCGTATGCACCGATCCTCGGCCCAGGATGGGCCTGACCAGGATGGCTGTAGGCGTGTATGGTTGGCGCCCTCCTGAGCAGGTGCCGACCTCGTACCCGCCCCCGTCGACGTCGGCCGCTCCCACCACGTACCCAGAGGTCCCACTGCCCGTGCCCGTGCCCCAGCCCGTGCCGGTGCCGCTTCCGGCTCCGACCGAGGAGGCGCCGTCTGGCCCGTGGAACCCGTTCGCGGCAATCCGGGACGCGTTCGCGGCGTTGATCGGGCGCAGCGAGCTCCCCAAGGATGTTGGGCCATCGTCATTACGGGCCCTAGGGTGGTGTTTGAGAGGGTTTTTCATTTCGAGACAGCGGCCGTTACTGGCCCCCCCCCTTCCCCCTCGGTGACGTCACGATTCGTGTTGACGTCCGAGTTGTCTTCGGCTCAGTTGGGGCTACACATTCCCAGACGGCACCGGCGCACCCCACCCCGGGAACGCCCGTTACCGTCCGGGAATTGAGAGACGCTCTCTATGTGGACCCTCCTGGTTTCGAACAGCAGGGTGCATGCACAATGGGCCCTGGATGGCCCTGGGTACCAAGCATGGTGGTGGAGCATACGTGCCCTCGCCTGTTATGGAAGGGGCGAGTGTCAAATCTCGCGCTCTGTTCCCCCCAAGCTTGGGGTTGCGGGCAGTCTTTCCAGGTGCACAGACTCCTGATCTCGGTCGTGTTTGTTCTCGCAACCTGGACTCGCAGAAGTTTTGACCACCCTGCCGGGGCCGGTGCTTCGACCCTTGCCATGATTTGACAGTCCTGGGGCCTGGTGAGGGCGCCCAGAGGCCGAACCTGAGCAGCAAGCTCGTCGTCGGTCGCGATTTTTGCCACGACAAGACGTGGTCCGGGCAGTTCGGGCTGCCCTCGGCGGCCCACCCGGGTACGTCGTAGAACTTTTCCTTCCGCCCGAGGAGCCCGCGCAACGAGACATCCTAAAAATTAGCCTGGCGAAGGACCCAACCATATGCAGTTGCTAGCACCGTCGTTGTATGCACCGCATTCGGAGGAACTCCCTATGACGCCACGAAACGCGTGAGGGGTGTGCAAAATAAAATTATCCGGTGGGCGCATGCGAGAACAGCCGCTTGGGCCGTCAGTGGAATTCCCTATGGGGCCACGAAGCGCGTGCGGGGTGTGCCGAAATGGGTGCGGTGGGCGCATGCGAACGCAGCCACTGGCGTCTCCGGTGGAGCTCGCTATGGGGCACGAAACTCGTGAGGGGTGTGCCGGAATGTGCGTGGGTGGCGCATGCGGGCGGTGGCACCAGGGCCTTCGGTGAAGCTCCCTATGGGGCCACGAGCCGTGTGAGGGGTGTGACGAAATGGGTGTTGGTGACGCATGCGGGCGGTGGCACTGGGGCCTTTGGTGGAGCTCCCTATGGGGCCACGAAATGTATGAGGGGTGTGGTTGAGGGTGACGCATGCGGGCGCTGGCACTGTGGCCTTCGGTGGAACTACCTACGGGAGCGCGAAACGTGTGAGGAGTGTGCCGAAATGGGTGTGGGTGTCGCATGCGGGCGTTGGCACTGTGGCCATCGGTGAAGCCCCCTTTGGGGCCACTGCACGCGTGCGGGGTGTGCCGGAATGGGCGTGGGTGACGCATGCGGGCGGTGGCACTGGGGCCTTCGGTGGAGCGCTTATGGGGCCACGGAACGTGTGAGGGGTGTGACGAAATGGGTGTGGGTGACGCATGCGGGCGCACTGGGGCCTTCGGTGGAGCTCCTTATGGGGCCACGAAGCGTGTGAGGAGTGTGCCGAAATGGGTGTGGGTGACGCATGCGGGCGGTGGCACCGGGGCCTTCGGTGGAGCTCCCTATGGGGCCACGAAACGTGTGAAGGGGTGTGGCGACATGGGCGTGGGTGACGCATGCGGGCGGTGGCACTGGGGCCTTCGTTGGAGCTCCCTATGGGGCCACGAAGCGTGTGAGGGGGTGTGACGAAATGGTTGTGGGTGACGCAGGCGGGCGTTGGCACTGGGGCCTTCGTTGGAGCTCCTTATGGGGCCACGAAACGTCTGCGGGGTGTGGCGAAATGGGTGTGGATGGCGCATGCGGGCGGTGGCACTAGGGCCTTCGTTGGAGCTCCCCATGGGGCCACGAAGCGCGTGAGGGGTGTGACGACATAGGTGCGGGTGACGCATGCGGGCGGTGGCACTGGCGCCTTCAGTGGAGCTCGCTATGGGGCCACGAAACGCGTGAGGGGTGTGCCAGAGTGGACGTGGGTGACGCATGCGGGCGGTGGCACTGGGGCCTTCGGTGGAGCTCCCTATGGGGCCACGAAACGTGTGAAGGGGTGTGGCGACATGGGCGTGGGTGACGCATGCGGGCGGTGGCACTGGGGCCTTCGTTGGAGCTCCCTATGGGGCCACGAAGCGTGTGAGGGGGTGTGACGACATGGGTGTGGGTGACGCATGCGGGCGCACTGGGGCCTTCGGTGGAGCTCCTTATGGGGCCACGAAGCGTGTGAGGAGTGTGCCGAAATGGGTGTGGGTGACGCATGCGGGCGGTGGCACCGGGGCCTTCGGTGGAGCTCCCTATGGGGCCACGAAACGTGTGAAGGGGTGTGGCGACATGGGCGTGGGTGACGCATGCGGGCGGTGGCACTGGGGCCTTCGTTGGAGCTCCCTATGGGGCCACGAAGCGTGTGAGGGGGTGTGACGACATGGGTGTGGGTGACGCGTGCGGGCGCACTGGGGCCTTCGGTGGAGCGCTTATGGGGCCACGAAACGTGTGAGGGGTGTGCCGAAATGGGTGTGGGTGACGCATGCGGGCGGTGGCACCGGGGCCTTCGGTGGAGCTCCCTATGGGGCTACGAAACGCCGTACTGGGTAGGTGAAACGCAGGGAGGAGGGAGGAAGGGGAGGAGGGAGGAGGAAGGAAGGAAGGAAGGAGGAGACGCGGGGACCGTCTCTTCAGAACGAGAACTCAACACCACAAGATGGTTGGGAACAATCAGGTGGTTCACGCCGTTTCGCCTGACAAATCCTCACGACTCGTTCCCGAGTTGGGGGGGTTGGGTTGGCATTGGGCGTTTCCCATGGCACATCCTCGCAACTCTGAGCTCCGAGATGCCGCACGAGAGGTGGTCGGGCGCGTTTCGCCTGAGACATCTTCGCAACTCTGAGCTCCGAGATGCCGCGCGAGAGGTGGGACGGCGCGTTTTGCCTGAGACATCCTCGCAACTCTGAGCTCCGAGATGCTGCGCGAGAGGTGGTCTGGCGTGTTGTGCTTGAGAGTATCCTCGCATTCTGCGCTCCAAGATGCCGCACGCAAGGTGGTCCTGCCCGTTTCGCTTGAGACCTTTTCGCAACTCTGGGCTCCGAGATGCCGAGCAAAAGTTGGTCCGGCGCATTTCGCTTGAGACATCTTTTCAATGCGTGGCTCCAAGATGCCGCGCGAGAGGTGGTCCAACGGGTTTCCCCTGAGACATCTTCGCAACTCTGGGTTTTGAGATGCCGCGCGCGAGGTGGGACGGCGCGTTTCGCCTGAGACATCCTCGCAACTCTGAGCTCCGAGATGCCGCGCGCGAGGTGGTCCAGCCCGTTCCGCGTGAGACCTCTTCGCAACTCTGGGCTCAGGTGCCGCGCGCGAGGTGGGACGGCGCGTGAGCTCCGACATGCAGCGCGAGAACGGTGGCCCGTCGGGTTTCGCCTGAGACATCCCCGCGCTCTGGTAAGACGTGCTCCGGGTGTGGTACGTTTCGCCTGAGATATCCTCTAAATGTGGGGTTTGAGCAGGCGTCATGCCCAAATTATCCGGGCGAAGAAAGAACTCAACCATTTGCAGTTGTGAGTACCGTCGTTGCTGGTACCGCCTTCGGAGGATCTTTTCACGCGGCCATGAAGCATGCGAAGGGTGTGCCGATGTGGGGCGGGGCCGCTACGGGCCCGCGAAAAGCGTGAGGGGTGCGCCGCAGTGGGGCGGGGCCGCCACTGGGGCCTTCGGTGGAACTCCGTACGGGGTAACGAAACAGTGAGTGTAATGGGTGGGGAAACGCATGCGAGTACAGCCACCAGGGCCTTCGGTGCAGCTCCCCATGAGACCACGAAGCGCTGTGCTGGGTGGGGGGAACGCATGCGAACACCGCCACTGGGGCCTTCGTTGGAGCTCCCTTTGGGGCCACGAACCGCTGCACTGGGCGGGGGCGACGCATGCATGTGCATCCACTGGGGCCTCCCGTTGAATTCCCTATGGGGCCACGAAGCGCTGTACTCGGTGTCGGTGACGCATGCGGGCGGTGCCACTGGGGCCTTCGGTGGAGCTTCCTATGGGGCCACTAAGCGGTGTACTGGGTGGGTGTGACGCATGCAGGTGGTGTCACAGGGGTTTTCGGTGGAGCTCCCCATGGGGCCACGAAGCGCTGTACTGTGTGGGGAATGACGCATGCTGGCGGTGCCACGGGGTCCTTCGGTGGAGCTCCCTATGGGGCCACGAAGCGTTGTGCTGGGTGGGTGTGGCGCATTCGGGCGGTGCCACTGGGGCCTTCGGTGGAGCTCCCTATGGGGCCACGATGCGCTGCACTGGGTGGGGGCGACGCATGCGGGCGGTGCCACGAAGCGCTGTACTGGGAGGGGGGTGACGCATGCGGGCGGTGCCACTGGGGCCATCTGTGGAGCTCCCCATGGAGCCACGAAGCGCTGCACTGGGTTGGGATGACGCAAGCGGGCGGTGCCACTGGGGCCCTCGGTGGAGCTCCCTATGGGGCCACGAAGCGCTGTACTGCGTGGGGGTGACGCATGCGGGCGGTGCCACTGTGGCCTTCGGTGGGGCTCCCTATGGGGCCACAAAGCGCAGTACTGGGTGTGGGTGACGCATGCGGGCGGTGCCACTGCGGCCTTCGGTGGAGCTCCCTATGGGGCCACGATGCGCTGTACTGTGTGGGGGATGACGCTTGCGGGTGGTGCCGCTGGTGTCTTCGGTGGAGCTCCCTATGTGGCCACGAAGCGCTGTACTGTGTGGAGGATGGCGCATACGGGCGGTGCCGCTGGGGCCTTCGGTGGAGCTCCCTATGGGGCCACGATGCGCTGTACTGTGTGGGGGATGACGCTTGCGGGTGGTGCCGCTGGTGTCTTCGGTGGAGCTCCCTATGTGGCCACGAAGCGCTGTACTGTGTGGAGGATGGCGCATGCGGGCGGTGCCACTGGGGGCTTCGGTGGAGTTCCCTATGGCCCTATGGGGCCACGGAACGTGTGCGGAGTGTGCCGAAATGGGTGTGGGTGACGCATGCGGGCGGTGCCACTGGGGCCATCGGCGG